GGAGTCCCATAACTTGAGTTCCCAAACGGGCCTAGGTGAACAGCAGGAGTCCAATTTCCATATGAATGTAATACTTTTGCAGTGGCTCCTAGCATTCAGCAGGCCAAGATGAGTCTCCTTAGGCTGCAAGACTCTTGTGCTTCTCTTTGGCTCTGCAGAAGCTTTTATGGACCTCTCTGGCCACGCCCCCACCTTTTTCTGATTGATCAGCATCCAATCAGAAATCAGTATGTGATCACCTTCCCCAATCTCCACCCACTTAATCATGCTGGGATTTTCTTCCATGGATTAGTTCATTTAATCTGATGGTCATGCAAGAGCGTAGAATCAGGAAGTTTTGAGATTCAGTGATGCCTTTGTCCATGCACTCTCCACCATGGACTCAATTTTGTCCATATGTGACCCTCCTATTTCTACTGTGAGACATTAAAGTACTTAATCCCTAATGTAAGAAAAACATTCCTGGAAAATACCTTTATACAGGGATCTTTGCCATATCAAAATTATTTGAAAAAAAATAATTTTCAAAAACAGTTTGAAAATTCCAGAGAGAAAACAGATTTTTGAAGACAGTCGTGTCATCCACAAAGATTACAGAATGGAAACCATGTTTCCAACAGTCACACAAATACCAAGTTAATTTGCAGCAAATTTGAGCACACTAAGGGTGGTAGAGCACACAGGAGGGTAGAATCAGTCTTCTAGATTTCAGGCTAGATTTCTTCTGTCTCTTTGTACTAGGGATGAATCACATTGGCTCTCTACCAATGAGGCACATCCCCAGCCATTTTTATTTTTTGCTATTATTTGGAGACAGAGTCTCACTAAATTGCTTAGGTCCTCCCTAGGTTGCTGAGGCTGGCCTCAAAGTTGCCATCCCTCATCCTAAAGTCTCCTGAGTTGCTGTGATTACAGTCATCGACCACCATGTCCCATCAGACTTGGAAAATTCTGAAAGCCACGGAGGGTGGAGGTGGTGGGCAACTTGGGATGTTGGAGAGAAAGACACAGGGTTGGACAGCAGGTGTCCTTGACTTCAGGGAGGCCACCAATTAGAGAGCCTTTCTTCAGAATCAGGGACTTCCCCAGGGCACATCTCCCAGAAAACCTTGGCCTCAGGCACTTTCCAAGGCCTTTAGCCTGGGAGGAGAACACAAGCAAAGGAAAATTTCAAGAGTCTGAGTAAAATGAAATTCTAAAACTGAGGAAGGAGAGACAAAAAGAGATGGAATGCTTGGATGAGCCATGTGAGGTGAGCACTTCGAGGGAGCCTTTAGAAGGAATGGTTTGATGGTCTGAATTTCAAATTAAAAGAGAGCTTTACTTACCTGACTAGGGACTGTCACCCACCACAGAGTCTCAAGCTCTGTGAAAGGACAGCAGCTTCCTGATCTATCCAAAGACATTATAAGCATAAAATCCACATCTCAGTTACTTGCTTATCATCATGTATGCTAGCCAATCATTGAAATTAAAACATTAATAAGTGGAGCCTCTGGGCTCTTGGAAGGATCAGAATGTTTCAGTCAGCAAGCCAGCACATTAGCTTTGCAGTTCAGTTGACCATGGTCCTGGGTTCAAGTAGATGCTAGAAAGTCACATCCTGAATTTAGGTAGTGGTAATCGGGATGAGAATTTACTTCAATTTCATGTAGACCCACAATAGCATTCAAACCCAGAATGTAGCTCTTCATGACCACCAGTGCATCCATATTTTAGTACAATTTGTAGGGTACAAAGTACAGAAATGCATTTTTTTAAAATAAGAACACAGCTGTCATTTCAGTTTCTCAGAAACAGCTCTTGCAACAGTTTTTTTATAGGAGGCAGCAAAATGGAGTCTCAGGCCTGCCTTTAGAGTTCTTGCTTTATAATTGTCTTATCTCAATTTTTAAAATTTTATATCCATCATCTGTAATTTTTTTACTAATCTGGATCCCTTAACTGACAAACTTATTGATTGTATTTATAACTTCACACCACAGCATATGGGATTAAAAGTGTTCACCACAGCATTCTGTTTTGAATTACAATTTTGAAAAGACAGAGCATTTGCCTAGCATACATGAGGCCCTGAGTTTGATCCCTAGTAACAATAAATAAAGAAATGAATAAATAAATACATAGATAGATAGATAGATAGATAGATAGATAGCCAGATAGATAGACCTGTGTTCAAGTAAGCTTGTTAGTGGTTTTATTCTTCTTAATCAATTATCCAATTTTATTTATGTTCAGGGCAATAATCCAAATGATAACTCATTTTCTAAAGAGAGAGAAAGACAGAAAGAGAGAGAATTTTTTAATATTTATTTTTTATTTTTCGGTGAACACAACATTTTTATATGTATGTGATGCTGAGGATCAAACCCAGGGCCACATGCATGCCAGGTGAGCACACTACTGCTTGAGGTACATCCCCACCCAAATGATAACTATTGATAATAAACATTTAGAATCTTCATGGTTAAAAATCTGTTGGGAATTTATGATATCCAGTTATTAACATGGTGATTTGATTGCAATACATTTTAATATAGCGTCCAGAATTATGTCTAAAAACATGAGTTTTTTATGAATTTTTGCCATTTAAAATAAAATATTAATAAAATATCCAAATAAATATAACTTGAAAAAGTTATGTCATATTTGACAGGACTTCCCATCATATCAAATTAGGCTATTTGCCTTAATGTCTCTCTTCTAGAAATCCCTTGAGAAAATATGGAGTTCTCTAGAACATCCCAATGTTAGCTCAAGGTCAAATGACAATGTAGACTTTGATCATAGAGAAGTTAGTAAATAATCTCAAAAGGTTTAAAGCACTTAATGAAACTTAATGAAACCCAGATCATTATAAAAGTTAAGTCTTTTAACCAGAGTGATGAAAGATATTTAAAGTGAATACAGAAAGTTATGTCCTATGAAATAATTCTTCAACTTTTACCAGAGATGATTCAGTTTTCCTTTTCCCATGTAATCAGAAAACTTGATAAAACCAACTTGAAGCCTAAAAACTTACTCTCTCCTCCTCCAGTACAGAGCAATAAACCAGGGGAACTCTA